TTTTTCGATTTGTAATTTTTCAGTTTCTCGATTTTTCATTTTTTCATTTCTTCAGATTTTGATTCAATATGTATAAGTTTTAAAAATTTTCTCTTTTCCAATTTTTCCTCATTAATTCGAATTTTCCACATTTAAGTTTTCAATTTTTCGATCTCTTTATGTTACAATTTTTCCACATTACAATTTTGAATATTCTATAATTTTTTGCTTTTAGAAAATATGGGCTTTTCCAATTTTTTGATTTTCCAATTTTCCGATTCGATTCGATTTTCGACTTATTAAAATTTTCGATTTTAAGTTTCTCGATTTTTAGCTTCTCAATATTTCGATTTTTCGTTTCTTCAGTTCTTCGATTTGGAATTTATCGATTTTCCATTTTTTTGGTTTTTAATTTTTCGATTTTTCAGTTTTACGATGTTTCGACTTTTCGAATCAAAAAAATGGAAAAATTGCAAAATTGTAAAATCAAAAAATGAAAAAAAGAAAAATTATAAAATGAAAACTTTGAAAAATCAAAAAATTGGAAATTAAGAGCTGGAAAAATTGAAGAAACGAAAAATCGAAACATTAAATATTGAGAATTTTCGAAATCGAGAACACGAAATTAAAGAAATCGGAAAATTGGAGAACTGAGGAATCCAAAAATTAAAAATTGAAAACTTGAACATTTTCAGAGTAAAATTAGAAAATCTCAAAATTGTACTTAACACTGAAAAATATTGTATTTGAAAAATTTAATAATAAAAAATTGTCAAATTAAAATTCTACAAATTGAAAAATCGAAAAAGAGCAACTGAAAATCTGAAACAGCGAAAAACATTTTTTTTTTAAATTCAAAAATCGGGAAATTGGTAATTGAAAAAATAAAAATTAGGAAATTGAAAAATCACAAAAACTTAAGATTATAAAACCTTAAAAAACATTGAAAAATAAAAGAAACGAAAAACCGAAAAATTCTGAAATAAATTCGGGAAAACGGAAATGAAAAATACAAATCAAGAACTTGGAAAATTGAAAAATCGAAAAATTAAAAATTGGGAAACTGAAAAATCGAATCAACAAATATTAGAAGTATGAAAAATTGCAAATCGAAAAATTGCAGAAACGAAAAAATGAAAAACTAAGGAATCGAAAAATTGAAGAAACGAAAAACTGAAAAAATTGGGATTGGAAAAACAAAAAATTATAAACATTGAAAAATTGAAAAATTGTAAAAATTGTAAAAATTTTAGATTCCAGAAATTTTAAATCGAAAAATTGCAGAACCTAAAAATGCAAGGAAAATGAAAAATTGAAAAATCGCTAATCCAAAAATTGAAGAAATGAAAAATTGAACAAAACAATATAAAATCGGTACATTAAAAAATCGAACAACTAAAGAAATAAAGACAATGAAAAACCAAAACGACAAATTCCAAAAAAGATGACAAATTCAAGCAAATTTGAACTTGAAAACTCGTAAATTGCAAATCGAAAACCTGAAAAAACAAAAATAAAACATCAAGAAGCTGAAAAATCTAAAATTGAGAAAACGAAAAATTAAAAAATCTAAAAGTTGAAAAATCGAAAAATATCACATTAAAAATACGAAAAATTATAAAACTAGAATACTGACAAACCGATAAAAAAAGATAGAGAAAATTACAAAACTGAAAAATGAAAAATCTAAAAACTGAGAAACTCAAAATTGAAAACTTGTGAAATTGCAAGTCGAAAAATCACAAAATCTAAAAATTTGGATGTTCCAAATGATGGTGGAAATTCGAAAAACTGAAAATTTAAAAATGACACTATCAACAAAAAAATATAAAATCGGAACAGTGAAAACCCGAATATCTATAAAAAATAATGGGGAATTTATTGGGCTGCACTTCAGAGGCCAGGGAAGTTCTGTCGAAATAATTTTCGATGAATTTTTTCATTTTTGTTTATTCAGTTTGACAGTTTTGCAATTTTTGCATGTTTTTGATTCGAAAAGTTGAAAAATAAAAATTAAAAACCGAATTCGAAAAAAAAAAACTATAAATAGATTTTAGGCCGGTCGTCGTCCACTATCCCCAATCTAAAAAAAAAAATCCTTGTACTACTTTAGTCAAATCGATTTTTCAAATTTTCCTCCTTCCAATTTTTCAAAGTTCTTGATTTTTATTTTTCATTTTCCCGATTTTTCTATTTTCATGTTTCCCATTTTGTTTCACATTTTTTCGTTTTTCCATTTCCTTTATTTTTTCTATTTTTCCATTTTTTTATGTTTCAGTTTCATGATTTTTCGTCTTTGCTGCTTTAATTTGTTTAAATTTAAATTTCTCGACTTCCAAATTTGTCCATTTTTCGTTTATTCAATTTTTCAATTTTGTAATTTTTCGATGTTATTGTTATTCATTTTTCCATACATCAGTCACGCAATTTTAAAATTTCGATTTTTCAAATTTTCCTTTTTCCAATTTTTCAGAGTTCTTAATTTTTTTTCGATTTTCTTATTTTAATTTTCCCCATTTTATTATATTTTTTCAATGTTTTTTTTCGATTTTATAATTTTTTGTGTATTCAATTTTTCAAATTTTTAATCCTAATTTTTCAATTACTCGATTTTCAAAATTTTTCACTTCTGCAATTTTTGGTTTCCTCAATTATCCAATTTCTTTAATTTTCAATTAATTTCGATTTTACAATTTTTGGTTTTTTCGATTTTGCCGCTTTTCGATTTTTAAGTTTCTCAATTTTTAATCCCTCGATTTCTCAATTTTTCGTTTTTTCAATATTTCTTCGATTTTACAACTTTTCTTTAATTCAGTTCTTCAACTTTTCAGTCCTCAATTTTTTATTTTATAATTTTTCGCTTTTGCAGTTTTGTAGTTTCACAATTTTTGATCTTTCAATTTTTCAATTTTTCTTGTCTTCAATTTTTCGAGTTCTTAATTTCCAATTTTTAGATTTTTCAAAGTTTTCATTTTATGTCCTTCAGTTTTCTATTTTTGAATTTTCAATTTTACATTTTTGCAATTTATTTTTACATTTTTTTATTCGAAAAGTTGAAAAACCAAAAAATAGAAGTGATTGCAAAATCCAAAAATTTTTAAATCAAAAAATTGCAAAACTTAAGAAAAGAAAAATCGAAACACTGAAGAACGAAAAATTGAGAAACTTCGATTTTTTGTACACGAAAAATTGGAAAACTGAAAAATTAAAAATTGAAAAACCAAAAATTCGGAAAAAATTGCAAAATCAAAAAAGTGGAAAATCGAAATTGTTTTCAGTTTTAGAGTTTTTGGATTCCCCAAAATTCAAATATCGAAAAACTGAAAAACTAAGAAATTTTAACGTAAAAATAGCAAATCGAAAAACTAAAAAATTTAAAAATGAAAGGTCAAAAAAAATTAAAACACTGGAGAACCAAACATCGAGAAATTTTAAAACGGGGAAAAATTAATGAATTGAAAAATCATTGAGTCAAAAATCTACAACATTGAAAAACTGAAAAATTAAAAATTGAAAAACAATGAAATTGAAAAATTAAAAATTGAAAAATCGGACAATTGAAGCAATAACGAAAATGAAAAACCGAAATAAAAAACTTCAAATCGAAAAATTACAAAATATAAAAATTGAAAAATTCAAATATCGAAAAACTGAAAAACTAAGAAATTTTATCGTGAAAATTACAAATCGAAAAACTGAAAAATTTAAAAATGAAAGGTCAAAGAGTCGCATATCGACAAATTGAAGAAACGAAAAAAATGAAATTTAAAAAATTGCAAATCGAAAAATTGCAGAAACGAAAAACTGAAAAATGTATGAAAATGATAAACCCAAATCAAAAATTTGCAAGCCGAAAATTGAAATGAAAAACAAAGGAATAGAAAAATTACAAACATTGAAAAATTGTAAAAATTCAAGGAAGAAAAATGAATAATTGAAAAATCGCTAATCCAAAAATTGAAGGAATGTAAAATTGAAGAACAAAACAATATAAAGTCGAAAAACTAAAGAAATAAAGACAATGAAAACCAAAACGACAAATTCCAAAAAAAAAAATGAAAAATTCAAATAAATTTAAACTCGAAAACTCGTAAATTGCAAATCGAAAACCTGAAAAAACAAGAATGAAAAATCAAGAAACTGAAAAATCTAAAATTGAAAAACGAAAAATTAAAAAATCTAAAAATAGAAAATTCGAAAAACGTCACATTAAAAATACGAAAAATTATGAAACCAGAATATTGAAGACAGAAAAATTCAAAATTAAAAACTCGTGAAATTGCAAGCCGAAAAATTACAAAATCTAAAAATTTGGAACATCCAATTGTCGGAAAATCGAAAAACTGAAAATTTAAAAATGAAAATTCGAAGAGTTCCATAAAATTGAAGAAACAAAAAAAATGGAAGACGAGAAATTTGAAATACCTAGAAAAAATTGAAGAAACGAAAAACTGAAAAACATAAAATTGAAAATATCAACAAAAAAATATAAAATCGGAACAGTGAAAACCCGAATATATAAAGAAAATAATGGGGAATTTATTGGGCTGCACTTCAGAGCCCAGAGAAGTTCTGTCGAAATAATTTTCGACGAATTTTTTCAGTTTGACAGTTTTGCATTTTTTGCATGTTTTTGATTCGGAAAGTTGAAAAATAAAAAATAAAAACAGAATTCGAAAAAAAAACAAACTATAAATACATTTTAGGCCGGTCGTCGTCCACTATCCCCAATCTAAAAAAAAATCCTTGTACTACTTTAGTCAAATCGACTCCAGCTACGCTTAATCCCTAGTTATTTACTTATTAATCCCCGCCACGAAACTAACTAATAATTTAACCCAATAATAATAATAATCATCCGCAAAGTTCCTCGAGTGTCGTTCCAACAAGCCATAAATAATTAAAAAAAAAGTATTGTCGGTGCAGTCGTAGCGAAGCAGCCAATCCCGATAAAAAATTCAGTAACCCTCATAAATATGTAAAAAGTGTAATTCCGGTCGTGATTTTTCCGGAGCGTCAACCTGCACATGCCACCCCCGGCTAATCGTCCGAAAGTTCGACGAAATGATCGACGTAACCGGCGGCGACACCGCGGAGCGATCACTTTCAAGGGCCGCCATACATTAACACCCCCACCCGTGCAGAACCCACCCCCGTCTCATAATGGCAGGAACTATCGACTCCATCAAGGTGTTTCCGATGCTCCGCCGTCACCGTTACATAATAAAAAGGCTGATAGTCGGAGTGCTTAAGGACCCTCTCATACTCTAGACATGTAGTCGCACTCGAGGAGGAGTAGTGGCCAATTCTAGTCCAGTCGCGATCGGCACGCCGCCTGATACAAACGCGCATCGGGACGCCGCCGACACTAGTTGAAAACTTTCCCGAAGAAAGCCCGCGTTGCGATCCGTTGTGATATCCAAAGACTGAGAGAAGAGCTTGTGATATGTCAGTGTTCAGAAATTTCGTCCTTTTCGAGTGAGTCTGCCGGGAAGATGTGCGCTCGCCGCGGACGTGTTGGTACCAGGCCAACGCCGAAGGAGAAGTCCAAGACTTCTCTGCACACGGTCCCCAACGCCAGATAATAGAGAGTCCCGCTCCGTCCCGTCCGAAGTAGCAATAAAATGGCAGTTTACCGGAACTACTACAGGAGGAAGAACCTGGGCTGCGCCCAGAAGTGGGCCATCACGTTCCCTTGCCTCTACCTCCTTTGCAGCACCATCACGCTGGTGTGCGGCGAGAGGCTGAGGCACCACCAGCACGTCGACGACGACATCTACGTGTCTCAATTAGAGAATAGCGCGATCGAGGAGAGCTCAAAGACGCCGATCGTCACGTGTCCGAATTGCATCTACAAGAACGACAGAGAGATCAAAGCAGAAACGGACAATTTGAGGTTAGAAGCGATCAAAAGACAGATATTATCGAAACTGGGCTTGAGGCACAAGCCCAACGTCACACATAGTCTTCCTAGAGAAGTTATCATGGAAACCCTGTCTAGAGCTGAAGATAACAGTGATTTTTTTAGATACTCTTATAGTGAAGAAAATATATCAACGACTAGCGCCAGGACGTCCACGGTGGATACCATGGATTATGACGACTTCTACGGGAGGACGTCGGAGATCATTTCGTTTGCTGAACAAGGTAAAGCGCAAACCGACTCGACGCCGCTGGCTCTCGATTTTACACTCATGCATATACAGCGTGTGCGGACGAAATTCGCATTTGACCCACTTTTGGCCCGTCGTGAATGAAAATCTAAAAATAGACTGACGTGTGCAATTCGTCAAGGTTCGCCCGGATCCTCGAATTTCGCAAAAACTCGATTAAATAATAAACACTTGCGTTACTCACCGGTTTTTTACTCAAAACGATTCAATTAGGATGACTTTCCTTTTCTGCTTTGGCGGAAATGAGGATTTAGCGCTTAAAAACGACGAAATGGATAATTTTGTTGAGTTAAAAATTCGTCGTGTGTTCGCTTTTTTCGCCGCAATTCTGAGTCCAGACAAATCGACGCCAATGCAATGTTGTAACTTGGTTTCGAGCTGCAGTGGCGGGGACGGGTCTGGATTCGACTGCACTAAATTTTATTAAAAAAAAATATTTCTGTTCTAACTCTATCAATCACCTACAAAAGTATAAAGTAAAATAACTGAATAAATAAAACAGCAAATCTTAAAAAATTTAAAGAAACTGGAGAAATCTTAGGCGTTACTTTATTAAACTCATACTAATTCCCAAAGGGTCTAAAGACTCTAAGGACTCCAAGGGGTGAAAAGCTAAAATTCTGTTTCGAATACTTGAAAGATTCTAAAGGCTCTAGAGAAATTCCAAAAAGTCAAAGATTCTAAATCTTGAAAATATTGGAAAAGGTTGAATTTCAAAATTCTGATATAACTGGAGCCTGATAATTTTAGAAATTTTGGAAAATGTGGAAATTCTAGTCATTTTGTGTACTTCGGATAATCTGAAAAATTGGGCTAATTTGAAAAATTTGAAGAGAATTCTAAACTTTATAAAATTTATAGTAATTCTGAAATATCCAGAATTTCCATTGTTAAGACTCTAAGATTCTAAATACTCTGAGGACTCAAAAGGTTTTTAAAATTCCGTTCCAAATATTTCTAAGATTCTATAATTTGTAATAACGCATGAACTCTTAACATGAGAAAAATTTTAGAGATTTCAAAGACTCTAAACAAAATAAAGATCGTAAAAATGTGAAGAATGCTTCCTTTAATTTTTATAAATCCTACAAGTATTAAGGGTCTTGAACACCCTAATTATTATCTTACAATTCTCAGAGATTCTAAAGATTCCAGAGATTCCAAGAATTTCAAAGATTCTTGGACTCTATTAATTTTAGAAAATCTGAAAATACATATTTAGAAATTGTGAAAAATCTGGAGGACCTAAGAATCTTGAAAACTGAGGAAAATGTTGAATTTTGGCATATCCGAAGAAATTTCAAAAATTTACTCAATTCTAGAAATTCTAAACATTTCACTGGATTTGTGAATTTTAAAGATTTCGGGGATTCTAAGTGTGCCAAAACTCTAAGGAATCTATTAATACTAAATTGATATATGTGCCCTTGCTGAAATTAATGACGTCATCAAAAAAATATATATGGAAAAACTGACTATAACGATGAAAAAAAAGAATGCTCAAAGTTAAAATTGATAATAATTTCGACTGTACTTTAGAGGCTAGAGAAGTTCTGTCGAAATAACTTCCAACCAATTTTTTCTTAATATCTGAGGTCTTCTTTTCACAACAAGAAAGGTAAAACATGTTTAAAATGATAAATTTTTGTCGGAAAGTATCGATTTTGCAATTAGGCTCCGCCTCTCGCTCTGACAACCAATGAAAAATTCATCACAATTGAGCTTCGGATGGATATGGGTGGGGCTTAATTTTTGACTTGTTTTTTCTTAATATACATTCGAACAACACGATCTGAAAAGCATGTTTTTATTACTTGTAGAGAAATAAGGATTTTGCAGTTAAGCTCCGCCCTCTTGACTCACGACGAATAAAAAAAATCATCACAATTGAGATAGGGCGGGTGGGCGGGTCTTAAATTTTGCTTGTTTTTTCTTAATATACATAGCCATCTTTTCACAATAAGAAACTTAAAACAAGGTTAATATGGTACATTTTTCTAAGGAAATATGAATTTTACAATTATGGGGCGAAGCCTAATTGCAAGATCGGTATTTCCTTATACAAATTTTCCATTTTAAATTTTAAGTTATATGTAGTGAAAAGAAGTGTCCACATATTAAAACAAAAAGGCAAAGTATAAGCCCGCCCACCCGCCCGATCTCAATTGTGATGATTTTTTTTATTCCCCGTGAACCAAGAGGGCGGAGCTTAATTGCAAAATACTTCTTTCTTTGCAAGAAATTAAAAACATATTTCTGAGTATCGTAGAAAGCTAAAACATGTTTAAAATGGTAAATTTTTGTAGGAAAGTATCGATTTTGCAATTAGGCTCCGCCCCTCGCTCTGACAACCAATGAAAAATTCATCACAATTGAGCTTCGGATGGATATGGGTGGGGCTTAATTTTTGACTTGTTTTTTCTTAATATATTTGAACAACACGATCTCAAAAGCATGTTTTTATTACTAACTTGTAGAGAAATAAGTATTTTGCAGTTAAGCTTCGCCCCCTTGGCTCACGACGAATAAAAAATTCGTCACAATTGAGATAGGGCGGGTGGGCGGGGCTTATATTTTGCCTGTTTTTTCTTAATATACATAGCCATCTTTTCACAACAAGAAACTTAAAACAAGGTTAATATGGTACATTTTTCCAAGGAAATATGGATTTTGCAATTATGGGGCGAAGCCTAATTGCAAGATCGGTATTTCCTTATTCATATTTGCCATTTAAAATTTTAAGTTCTATGTAGTGAAAAGAAGTGTCCACATATTAAAACAAAAAGGCAAAGTATAAGCCCGCCCACCCACCCTATCTCAAATTGTGATGATTTGTTTATTCTTAGAAACATAATACACGTTTAACATGGTAAATTTTTGTTAAGAAATATGGATTTTGGAATTAGGCTCCGCCCCTAGATCGGCCAACGAATGAAAACTTCATTACTATTTAGATCAGGGATTAATTTTATGTAGAAAAATATTAAGGATTTTGCAATTAAATTCCGCTGCTTTGGCTCTCGACTATTAAAAAAAATTATCACAATTGGGACAGGGTGGGTGGGCGGGGCTTTTATTTTGCCTTTTTTCTTAATGTACGTAGTTGTCTTTTCAGAACGAGAAACTTAAAACATGTTTAAAATGGTAAATTCTTGTAGAGAAATATGGATCTTACAATTAAGCCCCGCCCCTCGATCTAACAACGAAAAAAAAAAGTATCACAATTGGGAATTGAAATCGGGGCGGGTATGGATGGGGCCTAATCTTTGGCTTTAATTTTTTTATAATGTTTTTAATTTCTCGCATACTAAACCCTTGGCTCACGACGAAAAAAAATCATCACGATTGAAATAGGGTGGGTGGGCGGGGCTTACATTTTGCTTTTTTTTTTCTTGATATACATAGCCATATTTCTACAACAACAAATATAAAACATGGTTGAGATAGTACATTTTTGAAAAAAATAACGATTTTGTAACAATGGGGCGGAGCTTAATTGCAAAATCGGTATTTCCCTATACAAATTTTCCATTTTAAACATGTTTTAAGTTTCATGTTGTGAAAAGGAATGTACACATATTAAAATAAAAAGGAAAAATGTAAGCCCGCCCGCCCGCCCTGTCTCAATTGTGATGATTTTTTTATTCGCTGTGAACCAAGAGGGCGGAGCTTAACTGCAAAATACTTAATTCTTTACAAGAAATTATGAACATGTTTTTTTGTAGCGAAATATGGATTTTGCAGTTAAGCTCCGCCCCCTTGACTCACGACGAATAAAAAATATCATCACAATAGGGATAGGGTGGGTGGGCGGGGCTACACTTTGCCTTGTTTTCTTAATATGTGTAGACTTATTTCGACAACAAGAAACTTAAAATATGTCTAAAATGATAAATTTTTATAGTAATCAACTTAAATTCGCCACTTTTCTTTTACAATTCCTTTATTCTTTAAAAACGATTTGACTTTGTGCATTTTTACAACATTTTTAACTTATTTTAGGAAAATCCAACACGAACTAATTGATACAGGAAGAGAACTCGAAAAGAAAGTTGTAGGAGACAACTGTAAATTTCAAGTAGGATTGAAATTAAAGGATTTACTCAAATACAAATTTATATGCAACAACAAATGAAAAAACATTTGCCCTAGAAACCGTTTTTCAATAATAATAATAATGAAGAACGATTACTTAAATGCAGATTTTATAGTCTACTTTTGAGCGACAAACTCAAGTATGTTTTTTTTTTTATCTTTCACATGCTTCTAAATCTGTTTAACACATTTTGTGTATATTATTGTTATTAAAAACCAAGCGATCTCGGCATCCTATTAGAACTTAATCACGTCAATGATGTTATAAACCTTATACAAATTTGTCTGTTACCACGAAATGCAGCAGAAAATACCATATATTCAGTGACGGCTCGTCGCGGTTTGACACTATAAGACAAACCAGAGTATTAATTTTTTCTTTCTTTTATTTTATTTTCTCTACACTTTATTTATGGTCATAAGCATCATTTAAGATAACCGGTTTTCTTCAGTGCCCATTGAAAATCACCGCGCGCCGCCACTGGATTTGTTCAATAACTTATGTATGCTCTCCAATTCTGTAACATATTTTTACTTCTCGTCATGACCTCTAGGATCCAAAAAATAGGTCTGAAGTCTCCAGTTTCTGATTGTTGTCAAATTTTATATATACATAATAATAATAATAATAATAAACATAATAAGAGTACATCTTAACCTTATAATACTATTCTACAATGTTTAGCAAGTTAGCAGAGATCTGAAGATAGTAACAATCATCAATCATTAGTTTATTGCAGGGAATAGCATTAGGAAAATCGTTAATAAAGAGCAAAAACAACAAGTGTCCTAAGTTCGGTCTCTGTGAGACCCCAGAAAATGGAGTAAATGGTTTAGGGCTAAAATTTCTGTATTTCACAAATGAGATTCTACGAGTCA